ATATGTACCTACGTAGAGAAATAATAAAAGATCCATTTTGAATATCTTTTAAATCCATTTCACAATCTGTTTTCTAAACGAGAATCCTTTATTCTACCCATATGTACAAACGTCATGTAAAACATTTTCAAAGTAAATGCGGGAACGGCCAAAGTTTCCTTTGAAATATGATACCAGAAATTGATTGCGAGTATAATACTTCTTTTATTTTGTGCAAGAAAGTAAAACTTTCAAATACAAATTTATTTTCTCTCTTACATATGAATATTAGTGCCAGCAAAACAGTTTTTTTTTTTTTTTTTGCTACACTTTATAATTTAAACAAACATAGTGACAGCTTACATACTCTTAAATTGTCAGATTGACATTTGTTTTGAGTAATTCTAATATGTTTAATTAATCATGATATATCTTTAAGTTAAGCTAACTAGAATGAAATTATGAAAATGTTCTTAAGTTTCCAGGGAAAACATTCCAAGTACGACAAACTTTAGAGTATATAATAACAGTTTAGTTTCTTCCGTTGATTTATTTGATTCTTCTTCGACGCATAGGTGAAAATGCATATGTTTCTATGTAAATAATTATAAATTCATTTATTTCCTACTACAGCTTGATGGAATTTATTCCTACTACAGCTACGTGAAGGTATTTCGATGATGGTGCAGAAAAATTACTAGAAATTACCTTCATCGGTAAGGATGGACGTTCAACGGTTAGTAGGGTTAATTTTTATTAGTGAAAAAAAAGCTTTTTACATACGTGTGTATTACGAAACAAAGCGATTATTCGTAATGCAAAAATTTGCAACTGAGCATATTAATATTTGACAAATACAAAAAAAAATTATCAAGATATGTATCTTCAAATCTTTAAATAACTTTTGCATCAATATTTTAATTAGTTAGCATTTTATAGACCTTTTTGGCTCATTATTCATGTTTGTTTTTAAAATTGTAACGAAAATAATGTAAATTTGGACTTAAATTAATTAAAAGGCCCACCAGCGGCAAAGCAGTAAATCGCTGAACACTGGTAGTTCGGTCCGAGGTTCGAACTCCGCGAACGGGCTGGCTGCATGGGTGTTTTCGTGGTTTTCCCCATTTGTAACGTGTATACGAGCCAGTTTCCCTTAGAAAGTCCTACACGAAGGCATCCCTCCCCTTAGGCAGATAGCCCTAGTGTGTTTTGCCATAATGAAATACACCACCACACAAACACCAATTAATTAAAATCTTGAAATATTTGCAACACTGTTTTTGCAACCAATGCATAATTTAAATGTATTCGTAGGCTGAAGAACCTCAACTTAAATACCATAAAAATCACTCAAAGACTTTGATAAACGATACAAAATAAACAACAGGCAAGTCTAATTCAAAATTTAAAGACAAAATGTCTAGCAATTTTATATAAATTGATGCAGTTGTTACCCACTCTGTCACACTTACTTTTTTTTCCTGCGAGTTTAACTTTTTTTCAGAACACATCTATCTTTATGAATCATAATTTTATACATAGACATAATTGTGCATAAATACATAATTTACTTTGAGTAGAATGATTTCGAAATTTTTATAGTTTATTACAGTACTTTACACTGAAAAGTACTAAGCGAGAATTGAAATGACTTCCACACCAATAAACCATTCCCATGAAGAGCAAATAAGAAAGTTATGCTGAAATATTTTTCAGTTACACCATCTAGTAAACGATCTTGGAAAATGTACTAGTAGCTAGAGGCACTGGATAATGTGCACTTGCGTATTCGGAATTCTTTCCGACTGAGGTAATTTTAGTCCTGATGCCTGTGGTTATAGGTTAACACTCCACTTGTTTGCAGAAGTAAAAAGAGTTCTGTAAGTTATTAAAGTTGGCATGCATATTTTGCATGCAACAATTTAAAAGAAAAATTTATTTCTGTATATTGTTAATTAAAAAATACATAGGTTTAAAATACGGTGAAACAAATTTAGACTTTTTAAATCTGAAATCTTTAGATCAATTATTATAAATATATGCACGATTTTAATGGCCTCATAGAAAGAAAATAAAGTATCCACCCCTTACACTCTGGTTAGTATAGACGAATTGCTTGTGCGAACTCCGGATGGTGTTGCAAATGCGGTCAGGAGCGGAAAACTGATGTTAGTTACGGAAGGGTAAAGTTAACGGCTGCGTGAGGGATCATAAATGGAGATATATTTTAAAAGAAAAGTATTTTTAGGTCGCATTCAGTATCAGCATATCAGGAATAAAAACTTGAATGGAGCTACAGGGTTCTCCTCTGTTCTTCACTGTAAATCAGTCATGTATGAAAAGGTGTACATGGTACCAGAATGGAGACAAAATACATAAGATGCGGAAAGTTTTGAAGTGCTCTTTTATGTATTATTAAACAGTTATATAATTTAAGGATTCTATATTAACTACTACTTATATAACCAAAACGTGCATCAATATTGTATTTTTCATTATTATTAACTACATTCTGAAGAATGTTCTGCAGTCTAGTTTGCGTTATTTTATTCACAAGTCTCAAATTACAAATAATTTAATGTTTATACGGCATTAAAAAATTAACCAAAAAGCAGCGACCACAATGTGTGTTAAGACTATTTTCTCAGGTACTCAATTACTTCGCATACATGTAACATAGCATTCGAAATGCAGAACTCAATAATTACTACAGATTCATTGAATTCACAAATATCTGTCCTTCTAATCCTATGGCTTAAAAAAAGATGCTGTTTACCTTACAGTGTATCGTTCAATAATATATTTTCATTGTGCAAAATTGCATTTATTCGAAGAATTCAATTTGTAATTTCATATTCCTCTGTATATGTATTCCTATGTATAACAGAGAGGTTATTCCTATGTATAACAGAGAGGTTAGATGATTAAAACGACCCCTACATTTTTTCACGACTCCGAGCAGGATTATCCCCTCTTTTTCAGCTTTCCCCGAGAAAAAAGGATTTCAGAATTTATGATTTGATCGCATATAGACAGCATTTGAACTCCAGTATACAGGTCCAAATTCCACGAAAGTCTTGGTTGTTTTGTATGTATTCGCCTCTTGTTGCGGTTGTAATATGGTCTACATCCTGTGATGCACCCCGAAGTGAGCATCCCTCGTGATAAGGTATCTAAATGACTCATGACTTCGGCCATGGCGAAAAAATGCTTCATACTGGATTATCTTAATTTTGTTACATTTAGAATTTAAACCTGGATCTTCTCCACAATAGCTTAAAATTTCAATCCTATCATTGTTATTCCACAACAGCTTAGAATGTTTATCTGGATCATTGTTACTCTATAACAACTTATAATTTTAAACGATATCATTTTTTTCATAACATTTTATACTTCTTATATTGTTAAACTACACTAGAAAATAAAGCAAACAACAAAGCGTAAGAATTAATCTGGTCTCATAATATCGCGTGTTATATTTCTTTTAAGAAGTCTACTTTACATTGTAATTTTCACAGTACCCGAAACCCTGAATGAAAATGCCGTATGCAACCTGTGAAGCAGTTTTCTTTTTATCGAATATTTTTTCTTTGTTACAGCTACAGAATCTCAGAGTTTCTTTAGAAAATAATAGAATGTTTGGGAAAGAAGTTTCGGTGCTGAATTAATAGCCTTCGGCAACTATTTCCTATGGTATGCTACCTTCTTGAATTGTGAACTTTAAATATATTGTCGTAGGTGTGGTTTAAGACCATAAGATTCCGTATAAAAGATGCCTATTCTAACAATTTAATAGAAAACTTTTTTCTACTCTAGCTAATGATTACTGCATGAATCTTTCTTTCTGTTACTTCTTCCTCGAAGGCAGAAAAGCTTGATCACTTGTTAAATTGATCTAAGTACTGTATAGCTTCAAACCTAGTAAGATCTGCTTTCTTTCACCTCCTTAAAGTGAATCTAACATTATTTCAAGCGGAGAAAAAATAAGAATCTCTGTTAGTTTCAATCTCCATTATATTCTAGTGTATTCAATCACGTATTATGTTTCCATCTATTATTAAGGTGGCGTTAGTTGTATCATTACTGCCTAGTACGGAAATAAAGAAGTATTGTAATCGCAAATAATTTCAGGTATCATTTTTCAACCGCTCCTGAATCGATTAGGACAATTTTTTGTTTGACGTCTGCACGTACAGGCAGAGTGAAGAACTGCTTTTTTTTTCGAAAACAGTTATAAAATGGAATTTGAGCTCTGTTTTATATTCTTATATGTTGGTAAACTGCGCATTTTTTCCTTTAAAAATGATTGAAACTACTCTTATGTTGAGATTAAGTTTTTTTTTTTTTTTTTTTTTTTTTTTTTTTTTTACCTTTAGTTAATCTGCATGAATAGTTGTAAAATTTTCAATAATTTAGCTTAAGCTTGACGTGTCGCAAATTTACTTACATTTTAAAATCTTAGAAGTATAGTGATTTGCACTAATTGTATCAACTTCAATGCACCAAAATACTGTCTTGCCGTCCGTTGACCGAATGTCTCTTGCTTTCCTAGAAGCTCTAATTTTAATAACAAAAATTTACTTTTTTTAGTTGTTTTTAGCTGGATTCGGTGCCTTAGATTTTTCTGTTTTTTATTTAAGATCTGAGGTTTTATGTATTTTTATCCTACCGCGGAGTAACAACTGAACTGACTGAATGAGAAATATATCTCGATTGAAATTCGAGGAAATAATTTAATTTCATTAAGTGCAGTAAAAATTAGATGCAGTAAAAAATGTGTAAAATTTAATAAGCCGTACAAGAAAGTCATATGGTGTCCATATCAGATTTTTTACTTTATCATTAATTCCTTAATAGGCCTTAGAATTTAAAAACATCATTTTTCTCTAATAAGTAACACCACACATTTATTTCTTTACACCAAGTTTTCAGTCTTCAGAATATGTGTTTAAAACCTGAAAATCTTAGTTTAATGGGCAATAAAATGTTTGTGTAAAAATTGATTTATAATTTTCCAGGATTTTAATAGCGCTTTCCTCTAGAAACTGTATGTCAAAATTGCGACCAGTTCCTGCCAGCGCTCATTGCAAGCAAACTGTGTTCGTGCATAAAGAACTTAGAAACTCATCTCATGTTTTTCTCAGATGTGATGCTTTAAAGCCTTCTCTCTCACCACAATTTCAAAGGCCCCATCAAGTGCTAACTCGAAACAGAAAACCATTTAAAATTTTGGTCAACGAAAAAGAAGTCGTCGTTAGTATCGACCGTCCTAAGCCGGCATTTATCTGGACACGAGAAGCCACTGGATCGAATGCGTCTTCACCATCGCAAATTCCGTCTCAAGATCCACATCTGTCTTCAACGGACTTCAGTGCAAGCTTTTCCAAGCCTGCGACAGAAACCACGACTTCCGACTTATCAGATGCTACGACAAGAACACGCTTGGGTCGTCGAGTTCGCATGAACCCAAAGTATTTATAAAGTATTGTTAGCACTGGAGGGGGAGTACTGTGGCGACTTGCCTAGTACATTTCAACGCTGCCAGTCTTGTAAACCATAGCAACCAAAAAACAAAATAATATTTATTATATTCTATTGTTATTATTATTAATGATCTGTCTCAAAAATTGTACTACCATAATGCCCAATTCCTTTTTCAAATTAATCACTGTCTTTCCGATCACCTACCTCTGCTACCACTTCGTCTGATGTTTTTGGGCAGGGGAGGCCATGTAATTCTCAATCCTTAAGATGTGCCCTACCTCTCCTAAAAGTTTGTCACTGCATTCATGAGACGCCCTGTACAAGAACAGTAACCGGAAGAAAATAAAAAAGTTAGATTTAGTATTTCATAAGAATTCTTTATTTTAATTTTAAGAAAAGTACAAAAGAATGAAAGTTTGTGTCATTTAAAACATTTTTGTATCCGAAACTATATTCCTTCTACGGTTTATAAAACAAAGACCAGGCAAAACTTTTGTAGACACGATGGGTATGTGCACTGCAAAAAAAAAAAAAAAAAGGGGTGGGGCAGTTCTATATCTCTCGTTCTATTGGGTCAATTGACGAAATTCAGCTTGCGGTTTTCATGTCTCGAAACCGCGATTTAGGATATGTATTAGATTTACATATAGCGGTGTTCCGGTATAGGTTTTTCGATGCAAAATCGGACTTTTTTTGGAATGACATGCCAATTTTGTATCCAAACACATACATTAAAATGATGTTATATATAACTTTAATATGCATTAATAAATCTAATATATATAAATCTAATATGTATCCTAAGTAGCGCTTTCGACACATGGAAAACGCAATGTGAATTTCGTCAATTGGTTCAGTAGAATGGGAGATATAGGAACTGTTCCTTTTTTTTTTTTCGAAGTGTTCGTCCATATCTTCTCTGTTAATGCGTAGACTTCTAGAGAAAAAAATGGCTCTATAGAAAGTGAAGCCACTGAGATTTCAGAGGAAATTAAAAGTCTGTAAATATCTCAGATTTGCAAATTATATAGCAAAAACGTTAATATATTGCGTTATGTCCGCGCAAGTGATATGCCAGTATTAGTACAATATACCTAATTTTATTATTCATATTTTCTCAAAAACAAGGTTTATAAGAAGAATACATATTTTATTCCGTACAAGTATATTCTAATACAATATAAACGTTACCATATATTAAAAATACATTTTTACATACGATTTAGAAATTATTTTTCCTAAAGCGCAGTAAAATTTGCCTTAAGAAAGGGAACAGATCCATTATTGTTATTACGAATTCTTTACATAGATATATAAGTGTAGTTAACTGTGTATGTGATATTGTTGTATTTCTTTTGTATAATATAGCGTGGTCTAATCTGCGGCCCTCTTATCCATTTTGTTGGTACTTACCCTTTTAACTGGAAAAAGAAAATGTTAGTTAATCATTTGGAAAAACAAAAGACCCTTCTTACTGTTTTAAATAATAAATATAAATAATTATATTAAATATAATAATTAAATAATACAATTTATAAGGCTCAGTGAGACAATTAAAACTGTTGTAAATATTGTAAATTTAAGAAGGGGAGGCAAAGCTCAGAGACAGAGCATTTATTGCATTTTGTGGGCAGTTTGGATGCTGAGTATGGTGATATTTCATTGTATTCTCGAGTGCGCTGTCTAAGTGCTGGAAGTTATCTGCAACAGTTTTTTGTGTTGATGAATAACATTCTGGCTTTCCTCAAAAAAGAAAACATTGGGCATGAGTATCAAGAAAAATTGGAAGAAATCAAGTTTAAAATAATCTTCCTTTCTTGACTGATTTAAAATCCCATCTAAATGCTTTAAAACTACAAGGCAGAAAACAAAATATATCCCAGCTTTATGGACATACTGAAGGCTTTCGCGAGAAAACATAATGTAACACAAATTGGACTGAAGACAAATAATACGGTACACTTCCCATTGTTTCAAAGTATTTTAGTATGTTTCATGAAATAACTACTGATATCAAGATAAAGTTCCAAAACAGACTCCCTAAAAACAAAACTTTCAATGTTAACCAATCCCATGCAGACTGAAGTGAATGAGGTGCCTTGCGACCTTCAAATGGAAATTTATAACCTTCAGGCAGATCGGTTCTACCAGATTAAAGAGTGTGATGTCACTGAACATTTCATGAGACTGATTTCCGAAGAACGTTTTCCAAAACTGCATAAATTCTCTTTGCTAATGTTATCGTTGTTTGGCATTATATATGTGTGTGAAAGTGCTTTTTTTGCTGTCAAACAAATTAAATCAAAAACGAGAAATCGCATCGAAAGTGCTTCACTCGAGAGACTTTGCCTTACTGAAATCACACTGGACATTGATAAATTTGTATCAAAAAGGCAGTGCCAACTATCACATTGATTTCCAGACTGTAAAATAAAGTGATATATTGAACTAGTTATTTATATGCAATTCATTTTATTTCTTTAATGTCTCTGGCTCTCACTCTCTCATCCTAACGTTTCATTGGCCCGCGGGTAACTAAAGGTTGGACAACACTGGTATATGTAAATCTAAAAGAGCGAAGCTTGCAGAGGAAGTACGAATACAGAGGTAAGTCTATATAGCATTGAGTAAACAGCTATCTCGCTAATTTGGCGATATATCATCAATCTGGCAACGGTTTTGGCGACTAATTTTTGTCACGAAATTATGCGAGAACTCGCCAAACTTTGTGGCCATTCGGCGACATTTTGGTCTGGTCGCTTCATCACCGTAATAGACATAGTAATTGCAAAACTGTAATTGATGTTCTAAATAGCTGTAAACGTCATTCGGCCTAATATGCCTTCCAGTAATTTCGAGATGCAGAAAGTACTAGAAATAGCTTAGGGGACCGAGTGAAAACTATATAACACTGGAGAGAACATCTGCTCTCAGTTGTAGTTGTTACTGTTGTTATTGGAGTTTGAAAGCTTCGTCTTTTAGATGCGCTTTCCATTGCGATGTGTTTGACGTTCTTAGTAGTTTGAAGTGTACCTACTGATTGTACTCTGTGATACTGCGGACATATTGGCGACACCTGCACGATTATTTCTGTGGAAAGTTCAAAAACTCTGAGGAGTTTCCTTTTGATAAAATACATGTTATCGACCTATCATCGGACCAGTGGGCATTCAATCTACTGCGAACACGTACGCACGCAACAATATCTTTAAAGCCTGAAACTATGCATTCAACTATGCAGAGAAACTATGCAGAGGTACGTTGTCTTATTGCGTAGCGAAAATTAATCTTTTGAATGTTACGATTTCAAGTTATGTAATAACGACTTACGGGAGTCAAACTTCTCGTATTTTAATTTTCTCATAACGAGTGTAAAACTTTCCCAATTCCAAGTAAGGAAAACGGAAGGGGGTGGATATACGTTTCGGGCTGTCGATTGCAATAAAAAAGGGAACTGCACAGTTGAATGTTATAGCAGTACCATATACAAAATTTGAACTTCCTACGGTTAATCGTTTTTTAAATATGCGGGATGAATATTTAGGTACGTATATACAGACGTCTCGAAAGCAGTCCTTTTGAATCCATTCCAGATCCATTTTTCAGTCGGTTTTGGAATAAAATATCCTATATTCTGTTGGCACGTGTAGATGGAATGAAGAAATTCGTCCGAATGGATAAGGGAAAGGTCAAAATGGATATTTCCGTTGAAATATAATAATCGAAATTTTTCGCTTTCAAAATACATCCTTTACTTCGTTGAAGGAAGTAAAAAGGAATTTCGCATAATTCTGTTTTGGAATTATATATTGTTAAAGTGCTCTTCTGCATAAAAAGTATGAAATCTTTGAGCTCGAAACCGTGAAATTTGTCGAAAATATCGATATAATCAATCTGAATTGGAAAGCACATACAAATCTAGGCTGAAGAAGAACATCTTATGTAACTATCTGAAATGCAAAGAGATTGTTTGCGAGAATTTTTGTGAATTTTCCAAACTTTTACAATTATCATTCATCATCGAGATTTGAAACCCAGCATTCGAATTTGCCCAATTTTTTGTGACTTCTATTTTCTTAAATGTTACTGTGAATAAAAATATAGACTCTTATCCCACGTGGAAATATTGAAGGACGCTAACGCTGATAGGGGTTTCACCGGAGAGTGAGATGATGACGATACATTGAAGCTACGAGAAGACAGTAAAGAGTAAAAAAGCAGAATCATCTCGCTGTCGAAGCTAAGGTCCATGAGTTTTCAGATAAGTCCTTCATGCCAGATGCTGTCGAAAATTTTATCAACGTTTGGCATGAGAAAAACAACATTTAACTTGCAGTGCAAGGCAGTTCCTGCAAACTCAGGGATTCTGACGAGCTACTTGGCCGTTGAGGACTGCTCCCGACATCCAAACTGTTCCGGTAGAAGCAGATGTAGATAGGTCATCATTCTTTGAAAGATGACTCTCTCGAAAATCTTTCCAAGTCTTAGACATGGACCTTTCCAAGTCTTAGACATTGTAACATGTTTGGTGTGGCCTTTATTTGGTTTTGAAATCAGTATTAATTTTGCCTTTTTCCGCTGAGATGGAAAGTAGGAGTTGATAAGTGAGTTGTATTTCCAGATGACATTCTTGGAAAGATATCTGATGGCCGTATTTGAAATACAATCGATTCCCGGGGTTTGATGATTTTCAACTTTTTGATTGATTCAATATTTTTGTGAGTGTGGCTAAACCAGGGATGTCACGAGGTATAGACGAGTTGAGCTAATAATGTGAACTCAGAGTTTCTGTCTAAAGGTCAGGAGTTAGTAGTGAACTGATCTTTCAGGTGCTTTGAGAAAATTTTCACTTTTTTTTCGGTTCAAGGCTCCGATTTGGGCTTTGATTAGTACTACTGAGATGGCGATTACGGGAGAAAGTTCTTGATTGTTTTCCAGAATGAACCTTCTCAAGAATCCAGATCCCCCTTTCTATCGTTTCAAAAGTTCTGCTTTTGTGTCTTAATTGAGGTTTTAATTCTTCTATTCGGTTTACTAACGTGTGTTTTAATGGCAGGATCCCAAGTGAGATGGAAGTGTTTGCGAAGCCTGTAACGTTTGGCTTCCTTACGTTTGGCATTCAGATCGCCAACAGCTATAGTCAGAAAGTCTTAGGCTAAAGTTACATCTAGTAATTCGTAATTCAGGCTATTTTTGGAGATTTGTATTCGACACTAAAATGGATGTTACAGTACGTAAGTAAGGATACATTTATTGTAACCATTTCAAATCCACTTTGTCTAATTTCGCTGACAAGGGAGCAGTCATAATCA